AGCATAACCGGCCCTGAAGTAGGCTACAGCAACTTCCAGCCCATCTCTGTTGCCGCAGAAAACGAATTTAAATGGCAAATTAGTTATCCGTGATCAGCGTAAGTATATTAACTAAAGAGAGTTAGCCTCGATACAAGCAAAGGTTCGGCAACATTAGACAGCTAGACTGGTCAAACTGTGGAGTTCTCGACAAGGAATAGATCATTGTAACATGGAAAGTTATAACCATTTAAATGACTCGCAGAGATGTGCTCAAAGTTATCATGCATGAATGTCCGAAAAAAATAAAAAGCCAGATAAGTGATTCAAGCCCCAACTCGCCGAGTCTTCACTTAAGATTGATTCCACTGCGCACGCACCAGTGCGTTCAAACTTTTTAACTTCATGTTTGTTACATTAATCAGCCACTCTGTGATTTCCACTGTTTGAGAGCCTGGGATACAAACTGGCGCATCACTTAGGCAAGTTGTTCAAAGCGTATTAAGTTTAGTTATGCAAAATGGAGGGAGTAAGTAGGCTTTCGAGACAATCAAAAGCGGTCTCCCTGGGCCGGACTTCGTTTATGTGGTGTGGTAATAAGTGACTTGATAGTCTTCAAGCTAACGTTGTGTGTTGTCAAGTGTACACCCAACACAAGGCTCATATTAAAAAGAAGGACACAACTGAGGGCGAGGCTTAAGGAAATAAAAACGAACAACTTGCATAAACAGACTCCCATTGTTTTTTTTGTCCGCTTCACTGTTGTTAAAAATGTCGGTTAGGCTTCGCCTGATCACCCCCACGGCGGAGTTTCTGCAAAAAAACAAGCATACCTGTAATGTTGCGAGATACTTGACAACCTCTCTCATTTGAAGTTGTTCAAAAAGATCTGTGTTTTGCCATTTTGTTTGTTATTGAAAAAGAACTGCGTTTAGACGTTTGTTCAACAATTTTCCTGCGAAATCGTGTCCGGAATATCACCTGATACTTTGCCGACGTTACCTTAGGTCAAGTTTGCTGAAATCAGGGAATATTGAGTACATCATGACAATATTTGGAAATTTTACATTGTGTCTACAATTTGAAATGCTTCTTGCGTCTCAAACAGTCGAAACACATACAATTACTGATGGGCTGCAGACAAAACTGCCCCAATTTTTGCAACTATAATTCTATAGCCTAAAAGCGGAGCTCCTGATTGCAATAATTATATTAACCTTAAAGGAAAAAAACGGGTTTTTCTTGGATCAGAAACTCAAATAGTGATCAATTGTGAGCATGTAATTGTTCAGTGTGTAGTTTCAATATTTTTTCCACTTCAATTTGAAAAACCTATACCCAATAAATGTACCCAAGGTTGTAGAAATATATCAGAGCTAGCTCAGAGACTTTCCAAGAGACGATTGTGCGAGGAATATCTCGAAAGAACTGTAAAATATTCGCCAGGGGTTAATTTGCGCCGAAATTTCGCCTTTGCACGTACTCCTTCATTCTCCCCTAGTGAAATAACCTGGCTTGAGCCTGCGATCCAATCAGAAATCCAGTACCTGGTCGGCGGTAAACTTAAAAAAAAAAACACGGGACCCAATGAGCTCTTAACCTGAGCCCGCGATACGGTCGCGTGATACTGGTAAGCGGATAGCTTGTTTTGACAGCTGTCAATTGATCATAACATGGATGACCAATATAAAGGATGTACCTATGGTAATAGTGCTACTCTCTAATTATTTTGGCATACGGACAGTCACGTGACAACCAAACCTTTTTAGATCGATGGATTACCAAATGTTTTAAGGTATGGGGTTCCGCTCGCGCGCATTCGGCGCGCAGGAGCTCCGTTATAACAGTCCCTAGAATGAGCAGTACCACTTGAGTTGACAGGAAATGAAGAGAGGTTGGAAAGCGAAGTTTTTAAAAGTAAAGCTGGACTGCGGTCAACTGAACAAAAAGCAGAGAAATGAAGGAAAACAGCTCGTATCGAGCGACCGCTGCATCATTCGTTCCACTCTGATATTTAAGTTTCGAACGACACGAACGAAACGATTTGCGTGCAAAAACATAAAAGAACCAGAGGACTGCGCATTCGATTACCTCTCTTTAATGCGATATTCCAGTATCCTTTGGCAGTAGACATTCCATTCGTCAGGGTCAACAATGAACATTATGACAGCACTACAAAGAAAGTAAGAACACCTTAGTTGCTTACAAAGCAAAAGAACGAACACACAACAAATGGACAAACAAAACAAACACACAGATGCACGAACAATTAGGAGGCAGTACACATAACAACCTTGCCTCTCCATATAGTTCCCAGGCCTTAATGAGCCCGTCAGCCAATTCATCCAATGCGTTGTTTGGCGGTACCTAAAAAACGGAAAACACAATCAATAGTCAACTGGTTTAAAACGCTCACGAAACTCAGCAAAGTTTCCTGCGAATCATCGACCTTAAGAACTAGATATATCAAAACAAAGCCTACCTTGCTTTCTTGTCGGCCCACCAAACGCAAAAGATATCTAGAGCATTGAAGAAGCAATTTCGTGACAGTCACTTACATCAAGTTGTTTAATTTATGGTAAGGTATCATGCATCAGTGTTTTGTTACGTTTCGTTCTCGAACGAAGAGAAATCAAGGTTGCCTAGAGTCTTAGCAATGTTCGGATGTTCTGAAGACAATTACAACATTGCTGCAAAACTTAAATACTGTCAGAGTGAATAGGTTCCTCAAGCTTCTCTCCTACCCTCCCCCACCCGGCCAACCACTCCCAAGAAAAAAAGATGGAACTTTCGTTAAAATGTGAACAACTTGGAGAAGGTCAACGTTTTTATTAACCTTCGGACGTACAAGGTAGGGGGGGCGTGGATGCCACCCCCTGCCAACCCCCCTATAAAATTTTTTCAAAGTTTTAAAACGACGATTTATTCTAAGAGGCTAAAACTTTCAGTAGGTGGTCCTTCATTCTCTGCGAAAATGATGGCGGATCTAAGATGGCGGGTCAAATGACGTCATTTGACGTCATATATCGTCATTACCAACAAAAAAGGTATTATCTTGTAGAGCAAGCTCAGGGCTATCTAATCAATGTAACACTAACACTAACACTAACACTGACACTGACACTAACACTAACACTAACACCCAGACGAACGCCAACGCCAACGCCAACACCTAACGCTAACACTAACACTAACACTAACGCTAACGCTAACACTAACACTAACACTAACGCTAACGCTAACGCTAACGCTAACACTAACACTAACACTAATACTAATACTAATACTAAAACTAGAACTAGTACCAGAAGTATATGCTTCTGCTACTACTTATCATATTTATAATAAAAGCTATTAAGTTTTAAGGAAAACATCATTAAAATTATAACAAACAGCGATTGCTATGTCGGCAAGGATTCTTTAAAGCCAGTAAGAGTGGTCTGGGTTTTGGTTGTAGTTGGAACCCTGTTGCATAGTGTAGCACCTCGATAGTGCAGGCTACGTTTTCCGGCCTCAGAGAGTGGTCTGGGAATAAAGAAATTATAAGCGGAGCCCCTCAAGTCACAGGTGTGAACTTGCGATGTTGTTTGAAAAAGTTCATGGACGCGATGTGGAAAGTGATCATTTACCACCTTCTACATAGTAACCACTAATTGTTTAGTAAACAGGAAGATGGCGTCATATAATCAGAATTTGTTATTATGCGAGCAGCCCTATTTTGTAGCTTCTGGAGCCTCTCGGATTGGCATTTTGCGATACAACCCCATACTGGGCTACAATAGTCAAAATATGGAATAACAAGGGCATTGTACATGTTAATTAAAGTATCCCGCGGTACTAAGGCCCTAGCCCGCTTCAGAAGTGCCAGGCCAGCTGACACTTTTTTAACAATCTGATCAATTTGAGACTACCACGTTGGAGTGTCATCAATTTCGACCCCTAGGTATCTGTGGGTTTTGACTCTTTCTATAGAATGACCATTTATTCTTACATCAGGTTGATGATCTAAATGAGCGATCTTGTATTAGGTGGCAATACTATAATATTTAGTTTTCTTCACATTGAGACTAAGTTTATTTGCCTGGAGCCAAGACTGGATTTTGTTTAGATCACTGTTTAGCTTTATTTGTAGATCAGTAAGATCACGAGAAGTAATGGTGAGACAAGTATCATTAGCATACAGTCTTTGTGTTGAGGTTAGGCCACTCGCGGGAAGAGCATTTATATAAATCAAGAATAATAAGGGCCCCAAGATGGATCCTTGAGGGACACCACAAACAGTGGAGCCATAATCAGATAGAGAGCCATTTACATACGGTTCTTTCCTTACGATCAGTCAGATATGATTGAAACCATTTTAAGCTTGTGGAGTCAACCCTATACAATTGAAGCTTTCTGAGTTGAATTTCGTGATCAACAGTATCGAAAGCTTTCTTAAGATCGAGAAAGAGAACTCCATTTAGTAAACCATTATCCATATTAGAAAACCAATCATCGGTTATATCGAGAAGGGCAGTCAAAGTTGAGTGGCAAGGTCGAAAACCCGACTGAGCATCCGCAAGTAAATCATGCTCCATTAAGAAACCATATAACTGGTTGAAGACTATTCTTTCAATAAGTTTTCCGACAATCGGCAAGACAGATATAGGTCTATAGTTATTTGGATTAGTTTTAATATCATCCTTGTAAATAGGAGAGACTCTGGCTATCTTCCAATCATCGGGAAAAATGCCGGTAGTTAATGATAGATTTACGATGTAGGTCAAGGATGCAGAGATGATAGGTCCCGCCTCCTTTAACAGTTTAGCTGAAATTTTTAGACTATGTATTTTGGTGGGTTGCGGTGTTTTACCGAAAATGGTATTTATCCCTTTCCATGTGATCTTAATGTTACCGCGGTTGCTCTTGAAAAACGAATTATAATATGAGACTTTTGCCTTCTTAATAGCAGTATTGACCTTATTTCTCATAGCTTTGAAACGCACCCAAGTTGGGGGTATGAGTTAGCTTGTACGTCCGAGGGTTAAGACGTCGTAGGATGGAGCCGGTCCTATCAGCATTTAAAGTGAACCTGACTTTGGTTAACCACTGACTACAATTTTTCCTTAAATCCCTTTTTTTTTTTGTAAGAACTATATTCTACAGACGTAAACAATATTTTCGTTTTACCATCTTCTGACGTTGCACAAATCACTTGACTCCGATGATAACTTCCGCTCAGGTTGTCGAAACGTCAGTTAGTGTCATCACAAACAGTCCATCGCAGGAGTACACTCACTCGGACGATCGTGCTTCACTTACTCATTTCATTTTACGTTAAGCACATTTATTCGATCAACCAATCTTATGGAGGACTGCTACTGATATTTGACTCCACGTATTTTTCTTCCTCGAAAGTATTGTTTTGCTTTCTTATCCGAGCTGTTGTTACATTTTATTCACGATTTGACTTAAACGTACAATAAGTAAGTTTTGAAGAGGAACTTAAGTACCGTTTCACCTAAGAATGCGCTGTGACGTACCCAAACGTAGATAAGGAAGACGGTAGTCAAAAGCGAATCTCATTTGAGTAAATATAGGACACAACGTTAATAAAATTGGCTTTGTGTGATAATCGACATGCAAGTTAGCAACACTTTTGCATTTCGTGTCTGCCATATAATTTTCTCGAATTTGTAATGCGCAGAATAACGAAATTGAAAAGACTGAAAATTAAATTTAAGACTTTTGGATAACCCCAAACCCATTTCGACAATATTGCAATGTTCTTCTTGTCTGTCTTGTCCTCAGGCATCAACGCATTTCATGGAAAGAGCGGGAAATCAGTGGCGCGGGGGTTGATGGGAAAAATCCTACCACAAAACTATGAGCAAACGTGTGGGAAGCACGTGAAGGAGGCCTACTGAGCTTTTTTGGTTACCTGTGCAATTCGGGGACCAGGCAGGCGAATGTGGTGCCGCCAAGAGACATGGTGTTCAATTCAACTTGCTTGATGTGGATCAGATCAGTGTCATCATTAGAGGCAGGCTGAATACTAGAGCTGCGGTATTCGTCGTGAAGTCCGCTGCTTGTCTCAATGAAGTAATCGGAACGAAAAATTCCCAGTGAGATAGGCTGAAACAAAGAAGGCAGCTGTTCAAGTAGGAAAAGTTCCTGGTCAAAGAGAAATTCCCTGGTCTTCAGTCCGGGCTACATTAAAATGTTTAAAAGTGATGTACTTGTCTTGGAACTACAGTTTCATTCCATTTGAAAACGTGCTCTTAAGACACTTTGCCATCTTCACGGCTACGGCTCAATCAAGTATTTACTGAGAAGGGGTATGTTTGATTATATCGTTAACGTTTCTTTAGATTTCTTATAAAAGTTTATGGGTAGAAGGTGGATGGATAGAAAAACCAAAGATAGGCGGACTGAGAAGGCAAGGAAAATCTTACCTGGGCGCTCCCTAGCTGCCAAACTTTGTCGTAAATGTCAAAGAGTTTTGATGTGAAGGGGTCAGCAGCGACTGTACTAGAGTGAAATAAGAAAATAAATAACTCATTTGAGGAAGTCTGTGTAGCTGCAGCAAATATCTCTTGCCCGTCAGACTAATTGGACAGAGATACAGCGGATCTTGTTAGCCGTGAACGTGAAGGAATGCCGGCAAGTTGTTTGGCTATAAAACGTGCTACAATTGTTTCTTGTTAAAGGTGGTTCGCTAACAAGCCGTGAGCCGTGATTTTTTTTTATAATGATTAAACCAGAAAGTGAGATGTGACTAGTTCTAACCGCCAAGGGAAATGGCCAAAAAAATGATCAGACAGTGGAAACTAATCTCCCTCCACCGCTATAATCACATAGTAATATTAATACCACATAAGCGCTTTCTTTGTAAATTTGAAGTCCTGGCTGACTTTGTGAACTAGCAAGTTAAAATCCGTCTGCACTTCTCTCGCAGCTGTGAAAAGCTTTTGCGGAACTGGTGAAGGATACAGAGTGAAGGGAATATGCTCAAAATTTCCCCGAGAGTCTCTATGAATCATCCCGTGGCAAACACAGTAATCTCTTCCTTCGACCTCAAGACGTTTGACTTCATCTTTGGAAATTTCTTGATCGCTGATATGTGGAAGGAACATCGTGGTGAGGTTGTGTAACGTGCGTTGACTCGAATTGTATGGATACCTGAAAATCAAAAACACGAAAGATTTTAATCGGTGTATGTACAGTCTAAAGAACACGAAATGTTTTGTCGGCGACAAGCAATGCATTAGCAAATAAGAAGGGTGGGTGTCAGATCTAAAGGCTGATGATTTGAAGCCCACTGACTCCGTCTTGTGGAGTGCTGTTTTCCTAGACAAGAAGCTGAGCTTTCCATTATTGTCAGTTGTCCACCCGGCTGCATAAATGGTTACTGGCTTCATTCTGCTTCGGGTAACCCTACAATGGAGAGCCTATTTATTTGTAATGAAAAAATGCTAGATACTTTGATTGATGCTTAAGCGTGAAGCTTGTGGGATGTGGCTTAAAATAACAACGATTACCCCAGAAATGAGTGGGCTCACAAATACTTGGGCTCACCCTTTTCGTCTGCTGGATTTAAGGGGTGTATATTATCATAATGGTTTCTTATTTCGGGTGACTATTCAAGAGAGCTCTATGAAAATTAAACAATAAAATTATTTTCAAATTGACGTTTTTATTTATTTATTTATTTATTTATTTATTTATTTATTTGAGTTATAAGATCGTGAATGCCATGAAAGTCTACAACATACGGAATAGCTTGTTGAAACAGAAGAGGGGCTTGCAAAATATCATTGCATGGCCATCAGCTTCTAAGATACTTGGAAATAAACGCTATTCTGAAAACAAAGTACACATGAACGATCGTGACGTGATAATCATAATAATAATTGTCCTTAATAACACTTATCAGGACATTGTCTTGTGTCACGACAGAGTGATTATTTGGTTTTGACCACCGCATAAGTGTTCTCATTAGGTTAATTTATTCTTGGTTTTCATGTGACGTCATAAAAAAAACTAAAATTCAAACGTAAATAGACTTTTGCATTTTTATCTTCACTGCGTAAAAGACGTTTTAGAAATGTATCTGCTTGCATGTTCTCAGCTCGGTGGTGTGCTTTCTTTTGAAAATAGAGCAGTTTGAATTTCAGAATTTTTCAGTGCGCGACATAAAGATGGCTACTCACAGTCATGTTAGGTACATAAAAACATCGATTCACCGCGTGTTTTTGAGATCTGAAAAGCCAACATGTAAGTCGCAGAAGCGTCTTTGTGAATGTTTGGCATGTTGTTCATTTAATACTCTCGTACAATATCTCATTTTCTTGACTTTATCTATTGAATGGTTGATGATTTTTTTGTTTTATTTGCGTGATGTACACGTTGCTGAAAACCAATTAATTATAATTTTGGGCAAACTGTCCCGTTTCTTTTAGCCTTCGACGTTCTTGGTGCCCGGCAATTTGTCTGTAGTACTCGCGAAAAGTGAGGATTCACGTAGTAAACGCAACTAACAAAATGATCGTTTTTGGCCAACAACAACTTATAAGCCCTATACGGCGGGCGGAAAGGAAACAAGCAAAATAAGACAAATAATTGGCAAATGTAAACAGATAGTTATTGCCCATTACAATGAGCCAAGCCAAGATGGCATGTTTAATAACTGCACCAAGGACCTGTTCCAGAAGGGGACAGCAATACTGATGAAGAGAACGTTAACATCGATCATACTTGATTAAGACTCCTCGAATATTGAATCTTTTAAAAAGAACATTAGGAAAAAAGACCTAACGTCACTCTTAAACAACAACAACAGCTGCTGTAACCTTTGCAATTCTTAGAGACTACCTCTTATATACCCATTGTTTTATTGTACAATTTATACATGCTACATATTTCAATTGTATATACATTTTTATTATTATTCCTTATTTGTAAATAATTTT